CCTTTAACATTGTGCTACAGTTAGTGGTCAGACACCAGTTCTGTTGTCCACTCCTTAAGAAATGGGATGATTTCTGTATTTGTTACTGATTGCTATATAACAAACTACCCTAAAACTTAATAGTTTAAAATAAGATACATGTATTCTCTTATATTTTGTGAGTTAGAAATATGGGCTCAGCTTTACTGGGTCCTTTTTCTCAGTGTCTTATATGGCTGTAATCAAGATGTTAGCCAAAGCTCAGGTCTCATGAGAAGGCCAGACTGGGGAAGAATCTGCTTCCAAGCTCATACAGTTATTGATAGGATTCAGTTCTTCACGAAATGTTGAAATGAAGGGCTCAGTTCCTAGATTACTATTGTCTAGAAGATATACTAAGTTTCTTGCCAGCTGGGCTTCTCCAACATGGCCTTTGGCTTCACCAAGAAGGCAATAGAGACAGAAGTCACCATCTTTTCTAACCTAATTATGGAAATGACATCCCATCATCTGTGCCATATTTTATTTTATTTATGAATTTATTTATTTTTGAGACAGAGTCTCACTATGTCACCCTCAGTAGAGTGCTGTGACATCACAGCTCACAGTAACCTCAAACTCTTGGGCTTAAGCGATTCTCTTGCCTCAGTCTCCCAAGTAGCTGGGACTACAGGTGCCTGCCACAACGCCCGGCTATTTTTTGTTGTTATTAAAGTTGTCATTGTTGTTTAGCTGGCCAGGGCTGGGTTCAAACCTGCCACCCTCGGTGTATATGACTAGTGCAATAACCACTGTGCTATAGGCTCCGAGCCATGCTTTGCCATATTTTATTGGTTAGGAGTAAGACACTGGGTCTAGTCCATACTCAAGAGGAAGAGGTTACTTACATAAGGACATGCACACAAGGAAAGGGGATTTTGGGGGGTATTTTACATACCACAGTGTCCACATATCACCCCGGATGGTAGGTGATTATAGTGTTTGTTTTTTGAATGTTTATTATTCCCAAGACAATAGGACAAGTTGAAAAAATTGTTCTACAGAAAAATAACATAGATTTCAGGAGGGGTAGCCCATGAAATGAGAGAGTTTGGCATTATGAATTCTATTTTCTTTTGTGAACAAATCCACCTAAGAACCCAGTCACCTAGCTGTTCTATAAGCTCCTTGAGGGTAAGACTATATCCTTTATCTTGACATCAGCACTTTGGGCACTATACCCTGATACAAGAAAGAAACTTGAGGAACATTAATGGATTGAGGAATGGTCTAATGAACGCCAACATCTGTTTTTCTCTTAGGATATCCTCTTGCCCACCAGGTACACATTTAACAAAATATTATAAAGTTTAAAAAGTGGTTATGAAAAGGGGAAATTTATTATTGCAGGATACTAAATAAATATTTGATTAAACAAATGTCGACAGGCTTTCCTCATGTTGGCTCTGGGTGTATTCACTTTTTGAATAATACTTTTCAAAATGCTAATATGAAAAAAACCTATAATGCAGAGCATTATAGAAGCTATATTCAGGAAAATCTGCACCTGCCATGACAGAGTGAGCCTTATTAACCTAGGCATTGGGCAATTAGAATCCAGAATCTAGGTTTATCTAGTGAGGTCAACTAGCGAGGAACATAGGAACTGCATGTACGCTGGGAAGCAGTGTCCCACAAAGACTCAGAGTTGGAGGCCAGCAGAACAGTGGATCCATGTGAAGATCTGTGCAAACCCTTCTCTATACAAGGATACCTATAAATTTTTGTAAGCCCTTAGAAGTCTGGGACTGCTTTCGGTGTTAAGAAGATGTCCATTGTTTTGTCATTTACTTCAAATGAAATTCTGGTTAGAAAAGAAAGTTCATTTATTAAGAGAAATCAATACGTGTTTCCAAAACTGATATACATTCTCTCATTCATTCATTTTTAATTTTCTCCTCTTTCTCCCCTTCCTTTCGTCTTTTCCTTCCTTCCTCCTTCTCCCCCTCTCTTTTCTTCTCTCCCTGTTTCCTTTCCTTTTCTTTCCATCTTTCTTTCAATATACATATATCCTCTCTCACTAGGAAGTGTCATAAAAATTATGTAGCTTTTCTAAGCTGTTCTCTTATTTTTAGGCCAAATCAATATTAACAATGATAGCCTATTTGTGAAACCTGATTAAGCTTCAGGTAGAGTAAAGAGATATTTTCATATCGCTTTTCTTATTTAAATATAACACTTCTTGTTAAAGATTGAGGCCTTTAGTTGAACTTATAATTTCTCTAACCATTATACATATTTATTAAATGATACTAACTCTACTACTTTCCATTCTCCTGCATCATATGGTTACACAAAGTCAAACTGGCCTGCTGTGGTTATCTTAGGGGCCACCCTTTGCACCCTTCTGCAGGCATGCTTCCTGCAAAGAGTAAGGGTAGAATTTCTTTTCTTTCATAAGTTTGTCTATTATTTTCTCTATCTCAGGGAGAAGTTATTTCCTGACTCTATACACATAAGATATTTATGGAAAGTTACAAACATTACCGGCTAATTCAGCCTTCTTAGTTTGTTTTGGGTGATTTAAACCATGAATATTAATACTAGGATTCCTTGGATGTTGAGAGATGAGTAAGAATCAGATTGTGTACCTCATAAGTACAACAGGGGGGTTCCCGAGAACTACAAATCCCTTAAATAAATAATGGAAAATGATGGTTTATTATAGGCCCTTTGAAAAGTTGAAAAATGATGCAAAAGGAAAGAACTCATCTGTTCTTAGTCAGTTTTTGACCTTTGACTATCTAAACAGAAGAAACACACGAGCTGGAGCTAGGAAACTGAGTAGCACCTCTGCCGTCAGGTGAGCAGAGTGAGGTCCACTTCCCACCCCCGCACCCGCCGTGAAGGTCTATAGAGATGGACTGGAGGACCTTTACACAAAGGTTCAATTCCATAATTATTCACAAAGAAGGCTGCTGTTAAGATTGCCAAGGTCCTTGGCAATCTCAGTAACTTTTTATTTTTTTAGCCTGTAAAATGAGCAATTTGGACCAGTTGTTTCCTAGCCTTTCCTGCTCTAAAATGCTGATACCAGGTCCCACCAAATTAAACTATCTTGGACTTCTCATGACAGTTCCCGGCCTTCCAGTGCCCTCATAGCACAGCCCCTTCTTATGGGGCTTGAAAATTCTATCATATGTCATCTTGACACTAACACACCCAGTGTCACTGTGCAAGTCTCTGCCAAAAGCATCTTATTTCTATAAAGGACAATGAAGGCCTCAGCACCAACATCAGATGCCCCTGTTACTTACAACACTGAAGTTACCTGGGAGGAAGTGGCCCCAGGTAAAGGTGGAAATGTCTCCTCTCTTTTCATTAGCAGGTATCTCTTTAAGAGGTTAATTTGCCACTTTGACCTTCTAGCTGCTCTCAAGGAAAGCTTATCTTTCACTTTTTTTTTTTTTTTTACCAGAAAAAGTCTTTTATTACCATCTCTCTGTTATATTTCCATTCTAGAGTTAGTGTTAATGTCACATCTCATTCTCAAGGGGGCAAAAGGCTTGAGTCCAAGAGACATCTTAATGAAATGGTTAGACAGGAGAAGGAGTAACACAGTTTCATCTTCATTTTATCAAGGGTGACATCAAAGCAAGGAGCTGTGACAAGGACAATATAGTTAGTCTAGGGCAGCGGTTCTCAACCTGTGGGTCGTGACCCACAGGAACTGTATGAAAGGGCTGCGGCATTAGGAAGGTTGAGAACCACTGGTCTAGGGCATAACTCCCAATTGCATCAAGGAAAACTGTAGTAGAAATGCTGATTATACAGCAGTTGGCTCAACCTTACTCATGACATCATGTTTCATATCATTCAGAAAGTTTTTATAAAAGTCTCTAGTGACCAGTTGGTAGACTGTCTGGGAGTCATTTCCATTTGCTCAGTCCCTGAGGGGAAAGAAAATAGAATTGTTTTCTACAGTTTAATTAGGCAAATCTGGATAGAGGAACTTAGTTCACAAAGGGTGCCGAAATGCACACTGCTCCTTTTCAAAAAATGCGCGTAAAGTTAGAGCAAGAAGTCAGGGCCCCAGGGTTTTCCAACTAATGCTTCATCATCTCTCCCCTTCCCCACCTCTATATAACTGCCAGGACACTTTTGTTGCACAGTTGAGACAGGTGTACAGAAATCCTCAGTGAGGTCTGCAATTCCCACAGTCCTTTTGAGCATACTTTTAAAAATGAAAGACCATAACTGAAGGCTTATTTTAAATTTCCTAAGTTCCTGAAATAGTAATTTATTTTTATTATTAAAGAGATTAACAATAGTTGGCTCATTATCCTGAATATTCTTATCCATATTCAAACTCACCTGCTCAGAAAGTTACAAACTCATAGAGTGTCTAACAATCTCTACCTAACCATTAAGAAAAGACAATAAGGAGAATGCCTATCAGAGGTATCCAGAGAGAAAGGCTTTCTGCAACTGAAATATGATTTCCTGTCCACGGCTGAGGCGTAAAATGCTTCTTTTGGGAGCTAAGAAATTAAAATGAGAAACCTGTGGTATGTAAATTGGATGTTTGAGTTCTCCGCTGTGCCATCTTTGGCCAGTCTAATGCAATGAATTGGAGAAAGAGGCCTAAGGAAAAGGAAGGAATTCTCAACCTGTGATCAATCTCCAGCCCCGGGGTTAGGACAGAGGACTGAGTACAAATATTCTCAAGGCCTGACCTTGAATGGTAGGTAGGACAACTTGGAAAACTAATCACCTATATCAGGTCAGGTCTGTTGTAAATACCCAGGTCAGTCCCACCCCAGGGCCCTTGTATTGGAGACTCTTGGAAGAAAGGGCACTAGAGGTGAGAGGATGATACACATACATCAAGAGTTATATGATTTAAGGTTGTAGTAACCCACAAGGATGGAAGTAGAAGCCCTTAACACTATCTTTCAGATGATCAACATGATTCCACCTTTAGAGGTAGCTGAGTAGATTCCCGATAATTTCAGGTTAGGTAGGATTTTGACTCATGTAACTCATAGCAGAAGCTGTAGGTTCTACTCTATAAAATCTATGTATAGCATAGACCCACAAGGCTGGGACACTTAGAGAGAGTGGCAGAACACATGGTCTTCAAAGATCTGCATCTCTCTTGCTGGGAAGACCTTGTCACAAATTGGACAATTCAGACAATGGGTCTGCATCTGCTGCTGCTCCAAGATGTGATCACCAATGCCATTAGCAAAATCTGAATTGCAGGTGGGGCATTTCTCGGTGGAGAGCAGGCTGAAGGAAGAACTCTCTTGGATACCAGAATATGGGTTTCCATGGGCAAGTCCTGCATTTTGTCCTGCACCTCCCTGCTCTGAAGTAGGCACGTGATGCGGCAAAGAGTCAAAATCCAGACCCATGTAACAGAGCAATCTGTTGTTCTCCTTCTTCAAAAGATCATTTTCTTTTTCTAGTCTCTCTTTATCTCTCTGCAGAGCATCGTATATAATCTTGTTCTCACTCAGTCTTCTTGACAGGTCAAAGTTCTCATCCATTAACTCCTGTTGCTTCTTCAGGGCAGTGGTTTCCTTTTGCTTCATCTCCTCCACTGTCTGCTCGAGCTTCTTCTGGTGCTCCCTCTGTTCAGTTAGAGTGAGAAAGAGTTGGCCATTTTCCTTTTTCAGATGCTCTAACTGTTCTGTCTTATCTTGAGCTCTCTGAACAAGCTGCTCCATTTCCTTCTCTTGAGTTGACAGCTGGACCTGAAGCTGATGCACTCTGATTCCCATCTTTTCATTTTCTAAGGACACTTTCTGGTTTTGTTCTTTCAGCTGAAGCAGTTCTGTCTCCCAACAGTCCTTCTGGTCTTTCACTTTCTGTTCCAACTTCTTATTGATGCTCTGGAGGGTTTCTAGCTCTTCCTGCTTCCTTTGGAGCTCAGCCTGCATGTCTGAGTTCTGCTTCTGGAGGCTGACACAGCTGTCCTTCAGCTCCTGGTTTTCTTTGCAAAGCTCCTTATTTTGCTCTTCAATCTCTTCCACTTCTCCCTGAGTGGTAACAACCAGGATGTCCTCCTCATTTTCTGGACGGAATTGGAAAGGGATGCTTGCTCCCCAGACTACTCCATCTTGATCCACATAGCAGAACTGGTAATACTCATCATCCTTAGGCAGGTAATAAGCTTTGAACTGGACTTCCTGTTTGGCTGATTCGTTGTTCATGTCAACAGGCAAAGTAACCCACATGAAGGTGTAATACTCACGGGCTGTCTTCCATCCCACTCTAAAGATGCCAATCCAATCCTTTCGTCGGGGGATGAAATGCTGGGTGAGGGTGTAATAGCATGTGATGTCCCCTCCAGGGACGTAGAACTTTTCCACATTGTTAAAGATGACCTGAGAGAAATGACAGTGTTCCAGCAAGACAGCTGATGTGGGGGGATCTTCCATTATATTTTCCATGGTGGGGGTCCAGGGGTAGCAGCCAGTAGCAGTGCAACAGCAACAGGGCAGGGAAAGGGATGGGGCCTCTTTCACTTTTTTTAAGTGAAAGAAAACTTACCTCCAACTTACCTCTATTTATGGCAAATTCCTATGTAGCCTTCAAGTGCCAGCCCAGTGTTATGTACCCTATGAAAGCTATTCTAACTCCCAACCCTCATGAGAAATTGGGCACACTCTCCTCAACCATTTCATCTTGTACAGAGGCTCTATATTATGATCTTTTCCCAGCAAGTGTAAGGTCTTCCCAAGAAGGGCTGTAGTCTTTTGTCTTTGTATCTCCAGGGCCCTAGTGCCCAGTATATATTAGGAGTGGAAAATATATTTGCACAGTAGATGATTGACCAATTTGCCCTTCTCTGATCATTTTTTTTATTATACAGCCTAGGCTATTTATATCATACGACCCAAGTATATGCAGTAAATGAACTACTGAGATGAAATGCAACTTTTCTTAGTCAAGGAAAATTTTATGCATAAGGAAAATTGGCTATTTAAAGAAATTTTATATGAATCTTTTTGTCAAGGAAGACATGAATTCAAATATTCATAGTGATTTTAAGGAGCAGACTGTGGGAGGGAGTTCGGAGTTGTCTCTTCTGCCTAGAATGAAAGTTGCCCAAAGAACCCAAGAATTGGCTCATTTCCCTCTCCCCACCCCACACCCTAAATTAAAACCTGAATGAAAACTGATAGCTGTAAAAAGTACACTCTAAAGAAGTGTGCATCCACTAAAAATAAATGGGTATAAAAGACAATTATTAATTTGTTTGTTTGTTTTAGAGGCAGAGTCTCACTTTATTGTCTTCAGTAGAGTGCTATGATGTCACAGCTCACAGCAACCTCCAACTCCTGGGCTTAGGTGATTCTCTTGCCTCAGCCTCCCAAGTAGCTGGGACTATAGGCACCCACCACACCGCTGGGCTATTTTTTTGTTGCAGTTTGGCCAGGGCTGGGTTTGAACCCACCACCCTCGGTATATGGGGCTGGGGCCCTACTCACTGAGCCAAAGGTGCCGACCTATTAATTTGTAAAGTATAAAGAAAAAAATGAAAAAATTACTTTTAATTCTCCCACCATATTTTGCCATGTTTTTTCACTTATATTTGTACATGTATATACATATATGTACACACACACAAGGTGGCCATACAGTTCATGTGCAATTTAAAATCGCGTGCAATGTATATATAGGTATGTATGCATATATATATATAGAGAGAGAGAGAGAGAGATAGATAGAAAATGTAGTAATGTTATACATGATGTTTTGTAATCCTTCTTTTATTAAACTTATCATGGGTATCTTTCCTGGCTGTACTGTAATTTATTTGATCAGCTCTCTATTAATCATTTACATGGCTTCCAAGGTTTTAATGTCATTAAGAACACTGTGATCAACATTTTTGTGTACTTTCCTTGTTATTTCCTTAGGGAAAAAAACATATTAAGAAACTAACTAGGCCAGGTGTGATGGCTGATATCTGTAATCCTAGCATTCTCGGAGCCTGAGGTAGGAGGATTGCTTGAACTTGGGAGTTCAAGACCAGCCTGAACCAAATGTGACATTCATTTCTGCGAAAATAGAAGAATTAGCCAGGCATGATGGCAAGTGGAAGGTGGAGGCTGAAGGACAAGAATCACTTGAGCTCAAAAGTTTGAGGTTGCTATGAGCTATGATCACTCCACTGCACACTAGCTGGGGTGACAGAGCAAAACTCAACTCTGTCTAAAAAAAAAAAGAGAGAGAGAAGAAAAGAAACTGAATACGTTTTGCCAGATTACCCTCTCCAGAGGACCATTTTATTGCACTGCCACCGTCACTAGATGACAGTCTGTTGCTCCCCATATTACCAACAACAGCTATTAGCAATTTGCCAATCGATTAGGCAAGAATGATATTCATTGTTGTTTAATTATTTCGAGTACTTGCTAGGGAAACATTGATCAAATTCTGCCAGAAACTTTAACCTCAGCCATGGGAGCAGCTAAGATTCAGTCCCATGTTGGGGAAGTAACAAGCAATGCAAATCTATCTGATAATGGCTTAGGTGACATTTTGCTTATATTTTATATACATATATACTTTTTTTTTTTTGAGACAGAGTCTAGGTCTGTTGCTCTGCATAGAGTGCTGTGGCATCATCATAGCTCACAACAACTTCAAAATAGTCTGTTTTTGAAGTTTGTATAGCTAAGTTACTGGCTGTTTGGTATTCATTTTCCCTTTTGGTCCCACATATCCGAGATAAACTTGAGAAATGGGAAAGATCACAAAGGACTGTCCTCACTTATCTCTCACACAACACCCTACCTCAGTGTGTAACATTTCAAACACTTCAGTCCACCATTGTGACTGGTCACTCTTCTTTGCACCCTCAAATTTCCTGCTTAAAGTATTTCTTGTTCTCATTCACTCATCCAGCAGTAACTTCTCATTTTTCCCTTCCATTGGGTTTTGACTTTACACTAATTGGCTCTTAGCTGTTCTTCTTAGAAAAGTTCTTTCTTGGCAAAGCAGGACCCAACCTGCATCTCACTTTATTCATTAGAAACCCTCAGAGGCAGGCTACTGGCATGTCAGTATTGTCATTTGTGGGCATGCTAAGAGGCAGAGTACATGATCGGTCTCTGGCTGTTTTAATAAGTAGGATATGACTTAGGAGATAACTGTAATTTAGAATACCTGACCAAAGTATTCCACAGATAGAGCAAACCATCTAGTATCAGACCATCTAGATACTGAAACAAAATGAAGCTTTTTAAACCCTTATTGTACACCAGGCACTATGTTAATCATTTTCCATAAACTGAAAGATTTAATGTTCTAATCATACTTTTAGAAACGGAGGACCAAAGCTTCACAGAACCAAGAGAGTGATGAGGAGAGAATTCAAATCTGAGTTGGTCTGATGGCAAAGCTCATGATTTTCATTATACCCTATCGTCAAGAGTGCTGATACATGATGGTTTATGGAGAAGAAATCATAAGAATGAGAAAATCAAACTACACATTTGGCCATCTCCCTAGATTTTAGTCTATCTCTGCTGGCTTCTGCCCCCTCATTGCCACCCCCCAACACCCACACATTCCTTACTTAAAGAGCCAACCACTGAAATTAGGGCAAATTTCCCTGGGCTTATAAGAGTATTACTAACTTAGTGAAATATATCTAACCAGGCAGCCATTGTGTTTACCACATGTACACAAATCAAGCCAGTTTTCAATCAAGCCTATAAAATTAGGTCAGTAACAGTTGAAATCACTGAGTGTGTCCAGAAACAATGGCTTTGAGGGTGGGAGGAAGTACAAGGATTTTCCAAAGAGCCCCCACTATGCGATCCTAAAGATTCTAAAAAGAACAGCTGACTGTGCATTAAAAGTTGCTTTAAAAGTGGAATGACTCTAGAAATTAATTTACGTTATTGGTTGTGAGAGATACTAATCCTGACACTTTCACTTGGGAATTATTTGGGGTAAGGATAAGCCAAAATCGCTCTGGCTTAACAAATCCTGGTGAAAAGTGTCACCCTACTTGCAGTTGAATGACAATTGAACTAAAGCATTTTGCTTTCTTTATCCTTTCCAAGAAAGTGTTAATAGGGTAGACACTCCCATTTGCACTGATCCTTAATGGTTTTTTTTTTTTTTTTGCAGTTTTTGGCTGGGGCTGGGTTTGAACCCCCAACCTCCAGGATATGGGGCCTGAGCCCTACTCCTTTGAGCTACAGGCACTGCCCGATCCTTAATGTTTTAAAACATTACTTTTTGCACTCTGGTTCTGCTCTGAGGTAACAGAAATTGGGGACACCTGGTAAGTCCATGACAAGTGTTAGACACTAATAGCATATATACCTCCATGGGTTGTGAACTTCAAAAGACTCTGCTCTACTGTAGATGTTTCCATTAGTAGCCTATCCAAGTTCATTCCCCCAGGCCTGCCCTTGCCGGCAGATCTGTTTTGTTCAGGAGTTGAATAGCCCTGAACTTGCCTTTCCATTTTCCTTTTCAGTGAGTGGCTTAATCATTGTAACAGTATGATGTTGTGTTTTGATGATGATGAAAGCTAACACTTACTAAGCACTTACTTTGTGCTGAGTACTTCTGAAAAGAACTTTATAGGTGTTAACTCATTACTAAACAGAAGCCCAGAAAAACAAACTTGCCTAAAGTCACACAGCTAGAAAGTAATAGATAAGATCTGAACCCTAGCCCTCTGTCTTGAATTTTATATTTGCAATAATGATTCGTAAGGGTTGCAATGGAATATTTTATTAGTTTTTCAACTAATGTGAGATAAATTTTTAAAATTCATGCTCTGCTACGAATGTCCAGAAATTATTCACAAATTTATTATAGAAATGAAAATGGGCAAGAGGAAAGGGGTGGATACAGGACGTGACACACAAGAAAAGATTGCAGTGAAGGGAAAAATTCAAAAGGCAGTTAAGTGCTCGGTAAACTCTCCACAGCAGGAAACAGTGCTGTACATATTATAGCTGTTACTGAATAAATACTTGCTGGAATTTCCAGAGATGACCAAACAAACATCAAGAAGGAAGTGGCTTTTTTTTCTTCCAGTTTTATTGTGGAAAATCTCTAATTAGTACAAAAGTACAGAGAACAGTAAAAAGAACCACCACGCAGCACCATCAGCCAGCGCTCAGGGCCAGTCTTGCTTCCGTTTCTCCTCCCACTCCCCATTATTCTGAAGCAAATTCCGGCTATCAAAGCATTTCACCCCGAAATATGTCGCGCACATTTCTAAAGTCAAGAAATGGGAACCTAGGAATTTGCTGTACATGGCTAGCTCTGTGTCTCCAATTCCATTTTTGGTAAGGTAAGATTTATAGTGGGTTGCAACATAATTTTTTAAGAACAGTACAAGAGCAGGTGATTAATCCTCGCAAGGATCTCCAGGTGGGAATCTCAACCCATACATCCAGGCCGGCACTTGATTCCCCAGGGTCCCTACGCGCCACTCTGCCACCGTTCCTTTCAAGGCCGGGAGCCCTGCGGTGGCGCGTAGGTCCCCGGCCTTTTAGGGCCCTAGCTGGTTCCTGCCCCGTCCCCGGAAGTCTCCGCTCACTGGGCCCCACAAGCCCCCGCGCTCTTGAGCGCGCTCGCGTCGGCCACCGCGTAGCGAGCGGGGCGAGGCTCTGGACGCCTTGGGCCGGGCTCGGGCGCGCGCACGCTGTGCGTTCGGGCTCGCTCGGGATTCTCGCTTGGCGCGGCCTGGAGACCGCGAGCTGTCCGGCTAGCCATGTTGTTCTCCGCGGCGGTCCGGGCCCGGGCTGCTGGCTTCGCTGCCCAGTGGGTAAGGAGGCCCGGGATGAGCGCGGGCGCCGCCGCCTTCTTTCTCCCGCTCTCGGTGCCTCTCTTAGTTTTGGGCGGAGGAGATCTGTGGGCTCTAGAGGGGCCTGCAAGGAGCGGCAAGGACACTGCGGCCTTCGTCCTCTTCTCAGGGAGGGCGCTGCGGCTTCACCGCGAGTCAGGAGCCCGGCGGGAGGGTTGCCAACAGTAGCTGAGCGGACGCGTGCCTTCCCCAGACTGGGGAGTGTGCGCCTAATTTGGCCAAGGAGAGGAAGTAGGGGCGGTCCGTGATCTGTTTTTTCTCCCTTTGCTCTAGCGCGGAGCCTAGGCCTCTCCTGGGCCGACTAGATCTCCTTCCTCGACGTCAGCCGCGAAAGAGGCGGCATCTTGCTCTGTCTAGCGAAGTGACCACGTTGCTGTTAGGCTGCAGCACTTTACAGAACTCTGGCTTGCTCGGTGAATGCTTACTGAGAGTTCCTTAGCGCTAGAGAAGTATGATCAGTGTTTCATTTACTGTATATGTGCTTTGCATATCGGAAGTCTTTGGTAAATCGTATCCAACGACTGTGAAGAACGGCACCACTAGTAACTGCACCCAACCAAAGAATCACAGGATTTTAATGATCTTTTGAGATTTAAGTACATTTTATTATAGGCAGAGAAAGCGAAACACTTGTTCAGGTAAATTTAAAAAATGCCAGAAGTGGCCGTTACAACAAACAAGGCATTTACTGGAAAGAAGCTTTATTTTTTTTCTACGAGGAAACTAAAAAGATTGAGTCAGTTCTTAGCAAAAGAGAGGGAAATACTTTATGTTAGTATAAAGTGAGTTCAGGGCATTAGAGTTAGATTCGAGTTTGAAAGGTAGTTTCACCGATTTTGTAGCTAATATGACTTAGGGCAGTTAATCTTTACCCGTTTCCCCACTCGTAAAATGGAAATGTTTCCTCTTGAGGAGTTTAGTCTTTGAGTAAACGTGTGAGGTCCTATTGTGGATCATGCATTAATGGGCTCCAGGTAACTATGAATAATAAGTAACCTTTGGTGACCGTTTTATGTATGCCAAGCACTGAGTTAAATATCCACAGAACACACCTCTTTTCTTTTTTTTTTTTTTTTTTTTTTTTGAGACGGAGTCTCACTTTGTCGCCCTCAGTAGAGTGCTGTTGAATCACAGCTCACAGCAACCTCAAACTCTCAGGCTCAAATGATTCTCTTGCCTCAGGCTCTAGAGTCGCTGGGACTACAGGCGCTTGCCGCAACGCCCTGCTACTTTTTAGAGATGAGGTCTCGCTCTGGCTCAGGCTGGTCTCTAACTCGTGAGCTCAAGCAATCCACCTGCCTTGGCCTCCCAGGGTGCTAGGATTACAGGCGTGCAAACAACATCTCATTTTTGAGGTTGATACTGTTTTTTCCTCATAATGCAGTTAAGAAAAAGTTAGGAAGCCTTGTTCTGGAGTTTATGATAGTCTCATGTAAGAGGAACTTTAAGGTAAATGTGATAAAATGTGAAAGTTCAATGCTAGAGATATGAATGGGGTCATCCAATTTGACTTGAAGGTGGGATAAGATTTTTCCTTGGAAGTAACACTAACAGATTGGGGATGGGGTCACAGGGTAGTCTAGGTGGAAAGGACAACATAAAAAAAGACTCGATATTGGTAAGAAAAAGGTTGGTGTGTATGAGAAGCCAAAGTGTTACCAAAGGAAATGAGAGGGGCAGGGGCCAGATACCAGGGCTCTTTGCTGTGCCATACTGAAGAATTTGACATTACCTTAGAGGAAGTGAGGAATAAGGGAAAGGCTTTAGAGGAGTGGGAATATGGTCAGATTTCTGTTTTGGATAGATCACTGGATGGGACTGAGGGTGGAATGGCTTTGATTGGAGTTAGAAGCAATAGATAAGAGGCTCTTCTTGGAGAGAGATGATGAGGTTCAGACCTTATCTAGTAGAAAGGATGGAGATAAGATTTCGCGTCTTTTGTTTTTGAGGCAAAGGGTTCAGAGGTAATAAATTGAAGAGCAGTTTAACAATAAAGAAAGAAATTTCAGGTAGTGGAGGAAAATTTTTATCAAGCTTTTTATCAGCATTTTTCTTTAAAAATAGTGCCTGGAATGCAGTCGGTGCCCAATAAATATTTGTTGAGTTGATCAAGTTTTTTTTTTTAATTACACAAATAGTACATTGTAGAAAAAACAGAACATTGAGAACAGCAAATTAATAAGCTCAAAAAATAAAAATCACCCCATAGTCTTGTCAAACGAAATTACTGTTAACATTTTGATGTCTATAATAAACAGATCTTACAGATTTTTTCTTATAAAAATCAGAAGATATTATTCATATTGTTTTATAGCCTGCTTCTTTCTATAATACATTTTGATCATCTTTCCTTTTCAGTAGACATTTCTATACTGTCATTTTAATGCTACATAGTAATTCATTATGAGGATGTTCCATAACTCATAGAACCAGGCTTTCACAAATCATGGAATATCAGAATGAACCTAGCAAAGGAAAAATATGAGTAAGCTCTACTAAGGCAGTTCCTTTTTTTCCTTTCCTAAACGAGAAACCTTTAAAGAGACCATTTACACTTTCAAAATAATTGCCTAATTTCTCCTTTGTTAGTTAGGTGCCAATCTCTTCATCTGTAGGCTTTTTGGTTCAGTTTTAATTGCTTAAAATGTGCTGACAATTTAGTACTAGCTATGTAACCTTGAGCACCTTGAGCAACCTTTCTTAATCTCTTTGAACCTCATTTTTCTCTTTTTGTAAAGTGGGATGATACCTCATGGGCAATTGAAAGAATCATTTTAAAAATAGGAATTATGGGGCAGGGTGCAGTGGCTCATGCCTGTTATCCTAGCACTTGGGAGGCTGAGGCGGGTAGATTGCTCACAGTTTGAGACCAACCTGAGCCAGAGCAAGACCTTATTGCTACAAATAGTGGGGCACTGTGGTGGGTGCCTGTAATCCAAGCTACTCAGCAGGCTGAGTCAAGAGAATTGCTTGAGCCCAAGAGTTTGAGATTGCTATGAGCTATGATATTACAACACTCTACTGAGGGTGACTCTGTCTCAAAAAAAAAAAAAATTATGAATATGGAGTAAAAATTCTCAGAATAGGCCTATTCCCTTCAGTTTTTGTCCATGATTTTCTGTGAAGTTGATAACACTTTAGAAGTCATTATTGCCTCATTCCCAAGCTGCTGTTTTTGGTTTGGTAGGTGAGAGGGTTATGTTGGCATTTTCAAGTACATAGCTCTTCTACATAGCCATGGGATTACATCCTAATAAACCCATCATAAATAGAAAGTATCATTAAGTTAAGAAATGTGTTTTGATTTCCAGTATTTTAAATATTAGATAGGTTTTTTTGGACATAAGCCCATCATAAATGGAGGAACATACTGAATGTGGATCACTTTCCCACTGTCATAATGTTGGAAAATCAAAAGTTAAATCACTGTTAGGACTGTCTGTATTGTGTATCTTTTCATTCATTGAGGTTATTTTCATTTATATCTTTAATTATGATTATAGAGCTGCTTTGCAATTCTTATTTGGTGATCTTTGTTGAATTTCTTTTTTCTTAAACATAGGTTGTGTTTTCCTGTACATTGAATAATTTTGGATTGTATACTGGACATTGTGAATGATATATCGTAGAGACTCTTGATCCTGTTTTATTCCTCCAAAGAGTTTTGTTTTGTTATGTTTTATTTAGGAAACAGGGTTTCCTGTTGCCCCTGCTGGAGTACAGTGGCATGATCATAGCTCACTTACACCATGAACTCCTAGGCCTCTTAGTAGCTGCACATATAGGCACGTGCCACCATCCCTGGCTAATTTAAAAAAATGTTTTTTGTAGAGATAGGTCTCAGAGTCCTGACCTCAAGCAATCCTCCCAAAGTGCTGGTATTAGTAAGAGTGAGCCACTGTGCCTGGCTGAGTATTTTGTTGCTATCCATCTCTTTTGTGATGGGCAATAGATCGAATATTGGTTCTTTTTTTTAAACTGGGCTGCTTGGAGTCTGCTGCATGTACACCCACAGTTCAAGGGTCAGACAAAGATTTGGGTGGAGTTTAAATACAGGAGAGTCTCTCCTTTTCTGCTTCTTCCTTTTCTGGGATTTCCCACTTTCCCAGGCTTTTCAGTTGTTCCAAACTTTCACTGAGGCCTCCCTTCAGGCCAAAAAATGTAAAGAAAACACAAAGACCTTACTGGCTTCTTTTGAGTGTAGACTCTTTTCCCTGTGTCTGCCTGCTTTTGGTTCTCCAGTGCCTTCAGAAAGTTTTTTTTAAAAAAAAATATTCTGTCCAGAGTTTATAGGTTATTACCCAGTGGTATGGGCTGGTGCTATCTCCACAACCATACTAAAAGTATACCACTTTTTGTGGTGGCATTTTTCTTTCTAAATTTTAAGTTTTGTAGAATGAAATATTTTTCCCCTTCCATTAGAGATTTTATTTATTTATTTATTTATTTTTGAGACAGAACCTCAAGCTATCCCCCTGGGTAGAGTGCCATGGCATCACGCTCACAGCAACCTCCAACTCCTGGGCTCAAGTGAGTCTCCTGCCTCAGCCTCCCAAGTAGCTGGGACCACAGGTGCCCACCACAGCACCCGGCTATTTTTTGGTTGTAGCCATCGTTGTTTTGGCTGGCCTGCGCTGGTTTCAAATTCTCCACGTTAGGTGTATGTGGTTGGCTCCTTAGCCACTTGAGCCACAGGTCCCAAGCCCATTAGAGATTTTGCAATGCCCCAGTGTTTCTCTATTTTTGGTTTAACAACGCTGTGAGAGAAAAAATGCCAAAACATTCTTAGTTTTCTATTGCTGTGATACAGTGCCACAGACTTGATGACATAACACAATATAAATTTGTTGTTTACCATGCTATAGGTTAAAAGTGACATGAGTCTCAGTGAGCTAAAATGAATATATAGGCTGCTATCCTTCTCAGTCTCTAGGGATGAATCTCTTTTCTTTGCTTTTCCA